AATAAATTATTTTAAACATAGATACAACTAATAGGGATCCATAAAAAGAAAATAATTGGACCTTTTTAAATTTATTCAATATATAGGATCAATTTAACTGATTTAGTTATAATTCTACATTTAATTTTATTATATACCTACTTTGTTGAGAATAATTATGCGAATTACATCTTGTCTTTTTGTTAGAAATAATTGTCTAAAGCCATAAGTTTATTTTAATATAAGACAGTAAAAATTTCTAAATTATTTTTTAGAGAACAAATTCTACGAGTAAAAAATGATGAAAATATACCCTTTTTATTAGTGGGTAATAAAGGAGATTTGACAGATAAGCGAAAAGTGTCTTTGAATGAAGCTCAATCTAGGGCGCAAGAATGGGGAGTGCCATATGTCGAGACATCAGCTAAGACAAGAGATAATGTTGATAAGGTAAGTGAGATAACAAATAAAAATTTAATTTAATATTTTATTTGGGGATTAACATTATTTGCAGGTATTTTTTGACTTGATGCGTGAGATCCGAGCTCGCAAGAAAGAAGATGTGAAAGGAGCAAATGGCAAGGGTAAAGACAAAGGTAGACGAAAGAAGTTGAAATGTAATATAGTGTAAAAACTTTGAACTTTCAACATCTCTGGAAATCTAATTCATTATTATTTATTATAATTTTTAATAATATGCAATCAATTATTTTGATTTTGATTAAAATGTCTTTCTCCTAAATATATATCAAGGATTTTAATTTTATATAATTTTATAGTAAGATGTGTATTATCTTTTTATTTCTCAAACATAGGATTCTTCTTTCCTAATCTTTAATATATACATATTATATTATATTATATTCAATGTGTTCTAAATGTTTAGAAATATTTATTACGGGTTAATTATTAAAAAAATTTCCAAACTTCTCGAACACATTGTATATATATGTATGTATTACATATATATTATTGCTTAATACTTAATATAACATTTAAAATCCAATCACATATTTATTTTATGTATTATTTTTATACAATTTTATTATATCATTTTAAAGAACAGTTGTTTTTTTTTTTTTTTTACCTATATCTAGCAGAGCATAAGAGCAAAATTTATATTATTGTAAAATACCTAAAAAATAATAATATATCTTAACACTGCCAAATACATTTAAAATATTGAAAAATACAACAGAAAAAATATTAACACTTACATTTTAATGAGATCAATATTCACACATGTGTCCACATCCAGTAGGACAGTACTTATTTTCCATAAACCATTGTTTCATGTGTCCAATGTGGCCACCGTGCGCACATCCCCTACACCATGCATACATCCCACGTACAATTCTTTGACATAATGCACACCTAGCACATTCTGAGTGTTGACAATTGTAGCAACGTCGATTGTTTCGTGTTAAACCTTTATAACACCATCCACAGGTTAAATAAACTGAAGTGGAAGTTCGATGCAGTTGTAGTATGCTGCGAATACGTGAGAGTTGTATTACCTAATTTTAATCAAAAATAAAACCTAAATTACTTTTATTTCCATGTAGAAATTAATAAATTAAATTTTTAATTAATTACCGTTGTAGCACATGACCACAATTTGAATTTTTTAAGTAATTCAAGATAATTTAACCACCAAGATTCTATTTCACCCTGTAAAAGACGCCAAGAATGTCTAGGATTGGTTAGTTCACTTCTAATTTCATCATTTAAGACAATTAATGCACAAACCGCTGTTTGTACATCACCTTCATCAACATGATGACGAAGAGCCTTAACAACAGTTTCTGACGGATTCCACATGTCAAATTTAGCTGGAGAAGTTATTCGCAATAGTGGTGCAGAGGTTATGCGATTATCTATGAGATAATTAATGTCAAGTACCAATTTTTAATTGCTGTTAAGTAATTCTTACTTAATTTGTTTGCTAAAGGTGCTGAGTTGGGTATGTAGGGATCGTTAACAATTGGCTCATGTAAGATTTCATGTCTTAAAGTTATTGATTCTACGGGTACTTCCCAATCATTATCCTCTTCCACAGTTTTGCTATCCATCTGTAAACCTATGAAGTCAAATTGATCATGTTCAGCATCTAAAGGATCAATTTCAGCATTGCCAAAATAGAAATCTCCCAGTTGGTAAGGTCTATCTCCTCTGAAACCATCTTCATCGCTAAGAGAACCAATCTGGTTTTCTCCATCAAAGCTGCTATCAATGTTTGAACTGCTCATAATATCTTCTTTGAGAGTAATGAGAGACACACGATGATCATACAGTATTCTTAAAACATTCCACAGCAAACATACCTGGTTAAGTTAGGTTAATATAATATAATAATAATTAATATCCTTTTAGAATTATTTAATATTAATAATGATTAAAAAAAAAAAATTACAGTTGTTCTTCCAACATTAGAAGCAACACTAGCATTATGTTCACAGAGTTCTCCTATTGATTTTCCTATAAGTTTATATTGGATAGCACATGTTTGAATACATTCTGCTTCATCAGATAAACACATGACAATTTTTGGATCACGGAATACATTCATCTCACTTGATGTGTTCAATTCTTCTTCTCCACTAGTTGTAGTTGAAGTTTTTCTATAAAAATATATTGTTTATAATATAAACAAAATAAATTACTTTTAAGCTTAATCAAATTAATTACCTAGAACTATCTTTAGATTTTTGAATTTCTACTTTGTTTAAATTGACTGGGCAACAAAATACAAGATCACCATCTCTATTAATAGCCATACCTTGTTGGTTAGCACTTTCTAAGGGCAAGTCAGCTTCACTTATAAAATTTTGATGCAAAGTACTATCCTAATGTTACAATTTATATTAAAAATAGGTAAATATGTTTTCATAAATCTGAAATAGTAAATTACCCGATTTGTGGATAAGAGTACAAAAGGGTCTCCTTTCCAAGCAATACAAGTTGCTACATCTGTATGTTTAGCAAATGACGCATAAGGAATATAAGGCCTGCGTACATCCCAAACATTAATGGCAGAGTCCAGAACCAAAGCACTAGACGCCAAATGATATCTACGATATGGTCGCCACTTAACTCGTCCAACTGGGGCAATAGTATTAATTGTGTACTCAACTACAGGTTTATTTGTAACATTCCAAACCTAAAACAACATATAATTTTATTTTATTCATCGTGAGTAAATATAAGTAAAGTCAAATAAGTTACTTTGATAGTTTTGTCACGACTGGCAGTTGCTAAAAATTGAAGCTCAGAATGCCAATCGCAAGAAAATACTGGTCCATTATGAGCAGAAAACTTGTTTAGACATTTTTCAGCTTTTCTGGTATCCCATATTTGAATACTACCATTTTCAGAAGCCGCAGCAAATACATAATTGTTGTGAGGACTAAACTGAACATCTCTAATGCTTTCTGAATCGCTATAAAACAATATTTTATTTAACACCATAACAGTTCAACTAAAAATAACTCAATTATTAAATTACCTAGAATAAGTTTTAGGAGCTTCTTTTAGTCTCAAATCAAAACATTTTATTGTACCATCTTGAGAACCTGACATCAACAAATTAGGTTCAACACAATGAAATGTAACTTTGTTAACAGTTCTTCGGTGGTCGTAAAAAATATGATCTTGTTTGTTCCTGGATGATCTGTTTAAGTTCCAGGTGACTACTGCACCACCTGTTGTAGCAGTTGCCAAAACATTGTCTACAACAAAAAATTATTAGTGAAAATCTAAATAAATAAAATAAAATAATTATTGTATTAATAATGTGTTGTAAATGAAAAACGTAATATTAAAATTAGGGCTTAAAAGTTGTAGGATTTGCATGTTTTTCTGTATTATTTCTATATATAACAGACTAAATAACAATTAATTCATTTCATGCATAGGTAAATGAATTAAAACATGATTTTCTATTATAATTTGTTTTTAAAAAGCATATTAGTATATTATTATATATACTTTTTTTTTGAATGAAAATTTAAATTTTTCTTAAAATAAAATAATAAAGGTAGAGTTAACCGAATGTATAAAAAAAAGGTTTTTAAATTTTTCATGATCCAACATATAACAATAATATATAAAACAATTTGTTTGCTTTTATAGTTCTTATAAATATTTTAGCTTATAATATTAATGCCAGAAGTAAATAAAAATTCTTCTTACCGTCTGCTGGGTTCCAAGCTACGTCCATGCTAGACGAACTCTGTACGCTTGATGTTTTGCCACAGCGCAAGTTGACACATTCTTTGAAGCCTCCCTGTTCGATGAGAAATACCTTAAAAACTTTAAAAAATAAACAATGGTTAATGCATTGGATACAGCGACGAGAATAGACAATCAACCCAAAAGACTTACCATTTCTGCCGGCAACCACCACATGCGTGTGTTCTTTGTTGAGCGCCAAAGAATATGCAGGGCCGTCGTGCAAGATGTGTCCTTTGCCATTGGAGGCTGGAGTGGCGACGATGGAGACGGCAGCGGTGTCGGCAGCGACGGGAGCTACTGCGGTCATCGTACGTCGTCGTCAGGCTCTGGAAAACGCATTTGTTAGACCACGAGGGATCTATGTGCTATGCTGGATAAATTAAATGAATAATAATTAGATTTAAAAATAATGTGAAAACGACAATTAAATTGTACAGAGTTTGAAAAACAGTGAAAAACGCAAAAGGACTTGTTTGCCGTTCAGAAACCGGGAAACGTTATCGCAATACCGCCTGTAGGAATGACCCAATGACTCTGTTATCTATCTCAGTGGGTACTATGGAGATTTTAGTCGGCACGCATGCGCACTTCATCGTTCTCATACTACGACGTCTTATCAATTGGTCCAGGCACTCTGGACGGCGCAACTGATAACGGAGGAAAATACGCACGCGCATATTATATATATGTTTATATTTTGTTTTATTCGATTTTTGTTTTACGCCTATCTACCGTACCCACAATATTATTACTATTATTATTTATTATTATTATTATTACTATTATATCGCCAAATCCCAGACGACGACACGACGTGAGATCTGTACATTGTGCAGTGCGCGACTACATAACAGTCAAAACTCAAACTGTTTATTTCGACGAAATGCGGTCGGACGTCTTCTGAATTCCAAAGGCGCCGTATTGGCCGAAATTTTCGAGTTTCCACTAGCTGTTCCAGGACTTGCGATCCATCCGCTGTTTGATCGCCGTTGACCCTACCCAGGCCATGGCAATGACGTTCGCCAGTTCGATCACATAAATCAGATCCGGCTGTCGGTAAGAATAGGTACATTTAATAAATAAATAATAATGGCGAGTACCTGGCTGCTCTAGTGAGTGTACACTCTATTTTGATAAACAAGTGGTTCTATTTCTGACAAAAATAAGACAATCATTCTGAATAATGAAATATCTCAAGTCTGAAATGATTCGTTTTCTTTGTCGAAAGTCTGATAACAGTATAACCTTTTGACAATATGAAAAAATATATAATTTATATACTTCATTGGATTCTTTTTTGATTTATTCGCTTAGCTATGTACACATTAAATGATAATTTATTTAAGTTTATCAAATCAATTATTTTGCCATTAATTCAATTTTATACTTTAAGCATACCAAAGATTTTATATTTTATTTGTCTTTTTTATTTATCTCAATTATTGTTTTAAAGGTTATATTAAATTTGTAGTTATTTTTTTATTTAGAAATAATTTGTTCCCCTATTTTGTTTTTAATACATTTAAGAAAGATAAATAACTAATACCAAACAATTTTATAAGATATCAGTACTCCAACTACTTAAGTTCTTAGGTATCTACTTGAATACTAACAAAATAATAAGTGATGTAATTTACTTTCATATTTCTGCTGCTAAATTAATATATTATCTTTAATATACCAAAAATATTTTAATAATAGGTAGTATGGACTAGGGTTAATAAATTATACAAATGACAGGTTTCATCTTTCATTTTATGCTTTAAATAAAAGTATAAAAAACAACATTTTTTTTTATCAAATAATTGTATGTAAAAATTAAATTTATATATTTTATTAATATAGAAGTTTTTTACAATTTTAAAAACTTACAAGACATGAGATAAAAGTAAAATCACTATATTTACATTTGTAGATAATAAGAAAAAATTTAATACCCAACATTTATTTCATATAAAGTAAATATTATGTGGGTTTGAAACTAAAAAATATTTGATACCAAATTAATAATCCTTAGTAATAAACCATCTAAGGTTTCTTGGAATATTTGATCTGAAAGAAATAATACTATTTAAATTATTTATTTAAAATTTATCTGAGTCTAATTAGCTGGAAATAAAAAATGTGATTTTGTTGTATGTATTTTATCCTTATGATTAATTTATTAAATGTTTTTTAATTTCATTATTGTTATCTTAAAGGAGATAGCTTATTTTGAAAACAATTTATATTGCTACAAATTTTATATATAGCAATATGAATATTAATTGCTTACACAATATTAACAGATTTTCTATAGAAGATGATGATAAATTAATTATTTAACCCTCCACCCACAAGCATAGTTGTCATTTTTGCTGTCAAGAGTAAAGAGTTATAGGCATTTTTATAATTTAATATACCATATAGTCTAATGATAATATCATTTTGACCTATATTTTGTAGTGATTGAAAAAGAGGTGATTTTGAATTTTACATAATTTTATAATTAGGTATTTATTATATTACCTAACTATATAGTAAACTAGTGACATTTGACACTTACAGTATATTACCGAAAATAGACAGTTGATTAACAATTAAGCGAAAACAATTGTATCAAATATTAAAGAAAACATTTTGTAGTGGGCTTGTTTATTAATTTTTATCTAAATCAAAAACATTTTTTCATTATATATACATATATGCTTATGTTATTATTTAGTAAGTTATTTACTACAAGATAAGAGGTTTTTTATAAAATTCTATATTTCAATGCAATTTTAACAAATTTAGTATACACCTACGTACTACCACATACGTCTTAAATTCTGAGAGGAGCGATGAATGTATTGATTTTACAATGATGTGTTTTTAAATATACATTTACTGGGATCAATAAAACTGAAATAGTGGTTGACAATAATTCTTCAGTTTTCTTGTTTATGCGATCAACAGTTATTGTATAGTCCAGGTTATCAGTTAATACTATTTTTAAATAATTTTATGTGAATTTGTAAGAATTTTTCTTGCTATGATATTTAGGTGATCAGAGAATGAAGTATGGTTAACGTGCGTTAGTGTACTTTTAGCATTGTTTAGTGGACACTAAGGTTGTGATGGATTCATTTTATTGAAATATGTCGTTTAAAAATGTATCAAGTGTTAAAGTTTGTCTAAATTGTGTCAAACATTCAATGACAGTACATAATCATGGAGTGTCAAAAATGTCCATTTTATATATATATTATTACAGTTAAATTCTAACGTCACCCTCGTTCATCCTTCAAAACAGTAAAAAATGACATCGCATATAATTATTAATAAATTATAATAATTGATTTTTGTTTCACCTTGTGCGTCCTGTTAATGATTATTACTACTTGTATAAATATTTTTTATATTATTACTATGGTTAAATTATTATTGTTGCAGACAAGCTGTCGTCGAGGTTCGCGTACACTACCCAACAAGAGTTGACCCGTCATCGACGCGCCATAACCCAGGCCCCCAACCATCCATTACCTACGTACAAGCTGGTGGTGGTCGGTGACGGTGGTGTGGGTAAAAGCGCGATTACCATTCAATTTTTCCAGAAAATGTTTGTAGCTGATTACGATCCTACCATCGAGGACAGCTATATTCAACACACATGCGTCGACGATGAGTTTTGCGTGCTTGATGGTAAATAATTATGAATATAAAATATAATTTAATAATAGTTATCATACTACGTTGTGATGTTATGTACCGTAAATCGTAATTAACCACAAAACCGGATATATTTATTTATATTTATAGTATTTTTATAGCTGTAAGAAGTTCTGTAGTAGATTATTATTAGGTATTACTATATTGGCTATTTAACTTATTTATTAAGAAGATAGGTACCTACATGGTGCATAAGCATATGCGTAGCAGACCTTCCAATTCGAGGGGAGGAGCTCAAGTCTTACTTAAAATAATTTCTTGCTGGATGACGTTATTTTCTTTTTTGTTCATTTTTACGAAGTATTTTTATTTTAAAATAATTTTGAATGAAGTGATTTAGTTAAACGAATTATAGATATATTTAAACACCTAGGTACCTAATGTATATATTATTATAAATTACTTAGTATATTGTAATTGCTATATTATTATATAATACACTATGTTTTTACCTCTTGTTTTTCGTTGTTTTCCAACGCAACAGTTTACAAGTAAGCGCTATTTTCCAGGGGTTGATATTAATTATCATGTATAGAAAATAGATATTTAAGACATTATTAATATAATAATATAATATACATTATAGTTTTGTACTATTAGTATTTCAGTGATAATAGCTGATTATTTTTGTTTTAACTCGATTTCCGGTTAGCATCATCAAATTCGTTGTTTTTAATTTACTGAATAAAATAAACTGTAGTATTTCTGAACTATAAAGTTAATAATTTATGTTATGTTGTATGTATATTTTTAATAGTGTATTATAAAATCTATGTATAAATTAATATCTGCGTGAATCATTCACAATAGCCAAGGATGCCTTCTTATGATATATTATTTTTAATATATTATTTCTGTTATTAGTTATTTACAATACATAACATACTTAGATGACAATTAGTCGTTAGGTTATAAGTTATAACCTTGTAAAAAGGTATCATATTGACTATAGAAGCCTGTCAATTGTTGTAAAATGTAAAAAAAGTAAAAATAACGCATTGTTCTAATTAATAATTTTAAGGGTTGTGGTGAAATATATATACCTAGGTTTAGTGCATTGTGGCTAGGTTTATAATACATATTATAATCATAAATATAATCCATTTCTAAAATATACTTACTAGTCTATTACAATTTATATATATACATATATATTTATATTTATCATAAGTATACTGTATAAGTAAAATGGAAACATAAGGTTGCACTCATATAGCGTTATTATTAATATGTAATAACATATACAATATACATTGTATATATTTTATCAATACTTTAAGTTTAGTTATACGCGTGGGGAGATAGCAACCAATTAAAACGGCGCCCTTTACCTCATATACGCTTCCATTGTAATTTCTTTACACGATACGATGTCATACTAAGGGAATATAGCTAAATTACGACAATAACCTGGTATATTTCAGCCACGGTAAGTATAATCCAATTTAGAATGGTGCAATAACGCTGTGCATTTATATATAGTGTGTAAAACACATTTGTAAACTATATAGTTATTGTATACATATGTACTGTATTACGTAATGTTAATCGACTTCGAAAACTGCAGTGTTGGGACGCATACCTTCTTGAATATATTGTGCAAATCGTGTTAGTATAATATTTTGTGAATATAGTGATTAGGTGTTTCTCGTTGTACACGCGCAAATTGTTTTAAAAGTTAAAAAATATAAGACAGGCACAGAATAACTTTCTCGCGGAGTCGGGAGTGGAAAAGTCTTAAGGGTTTTCGTTTGTTTCGCATATTTTGTTTGCAACTTTTCGTATAACAGGGAAAATTATCAGTTATAAACAACTATCGTAATATAAACTGTTATTGGAGTGTATCTATACTGATTGAGAAAATTGTTGATTGTGAAACGGTTCGATACAGCGTTTTTATTTCGTTTGAAACACCGACGGATTCGCCGCAGTTTGAATACTTATAAATATAAGCATTACAAAATCTACAGAAATATAATTTGTTACACCGTAAAACGTAGTCGATATAAACTAAAATATATTATACGTTGTCACAACAATTTTTGAAGCTTACGTCTGTGCGCACCGTGTGCGATGTACATAATATATGGAAAATAACACATTATGACATATATATATATAGGATACTCGTGATTTGTCGTTGTGTCAATATCATAAGTATAATATTATTTTTGATTTAGAATTAATATCAATAATTATTACTCACCCCTATAGCTACAGCCGCATCAGCTGCTCTTCAGGCGTCCGACAAAAACTATTGCGATACTTACGGTTATAATAACGTGCGACCGGGAAATGTGAATGAAACCAAATTTAAAAACGAAAATAAATGCAAGGCAGATCCTCCGATAGCGTGAAATTTTTTTCTGCTCGCTTCCAAAACAAAACAGAACTACGCGCATGCACACACTTTTATATTGTTTAAATCCCATTACACCCAGTACACCCATATGCATAATATTATTGTTATTATATTACCCCTTCTATAATGTATAAGTATGTATGTATATACGTATGTGTTGTCGCACTGCGTTTATTGTATCCGCGTTTCCGCGCGCCTATGGCACGCACGTCACCAAAACTTATTAGTAATTATAGGTAGGTACATCGTATAATACATATTATGATGTATAATATAATGTACGAACACATGAGTTATGACCGACTTAAACAAGTCGTCGCCGCAGTATAGGGCCTCCTGTGTGGTGTTAAAAAACACGCGGTGTGTGCGCTAACTGTATAATATATAAGTAGTTGCTATAATATACGAGTATGTTACTTAAATAAATGGAATAATTTTCCTGTACGGCTATACCTGTTATTATTATTATTATTATTTATTAATTTTAATCACATGTGTCGTGCGGAGGACGCGTTAACGACTATACATAGGTATAAGTACTTCGGTACTTTATCATAAATGCCTAATATTGACAATATTGTATTAATCATATTATTCTTTATGCTCAGCCAACTTTCAGTGTATTATTATCGAAAATGCATAGACTCTACGACTATTTGTTTTTACTAATAGCGTCCAAAGTTCGTCAAAATCGCGAAATTTCGCAAGTAATAGTAAAATCATGTACGATTTTACTTTTCAATACCTAAAACTTAAAAATTTAAAACACAAGCTTGCTCAATAATAAGTTTTTGTCACTGTATCAGCTTATAAAATAAACAAAAATAACGATATTTTAATTGTTTTTAATTCAAAAAACATTAATCGTACAGACAAGACAATTATTTACCATTAAGTATATTTTTATTTCCTTTTGCACAATGAAATTTTCAAAGCATTTTGACCGATTTTAAGTTATTTATTCTTCGAATTTATTTGCAGTATGACGATGTTAATTTTTAAGTTTTATTTAATTTTTATTTATTCAACATATCCTTTACAGTGACTATTTCTTTAATAACTACGGTACTTTCGAAATAAATTATATAAAATACAGTACAGTTTTCTAATTTTTTAGTAATTATTTTGCCCAATTTAAAAGATTATATTTAAATTAATATAAATCTAGGAGATTTTTATTTAAAATTTGAAACAATACTGCTTTGAAATTTGTTTATAATGTTAACGCCAGTCCATTGAGAATCTCCGCCGTCACTATTGATTATAATAATTTATCATATGAACCTTTAAATTTAAGTATATTTTACAACCACCAGACACGTATGTACTATATAATTTAGTCGTGTAATTGTTCCCCGTGCAAAAATAGGATCTTTTTGTAAGCATATATGTCAGCTTAAGAATAATAAAAATTGAAAATTCATAATTTAAAAAAGTTCATAAAATTTGGTTAATTACCATCATCGATTGGTTAATTGCTCTACATACAATCTTATGTATCACTGAATGCTTATTAAGCACTAGAAAAAGCATTATTTGTTTTTTTGAATTTCAGAGAGATATAACATAAAATTAAAATTTTGAAATACTTTTTAAAAACCTTGATATGTAGAGTGCCACATTATCACTTCAATAAAATAATATAACTTATAAAAAAAATTATATTTTTTCTCTAAAAATATGTTATATATTATAATGTGAGGTCTAATAGAAATACTTACTCAATTAAAAATAAAATCACAACAATTTTAGAACAACTTAATGGATCCACAATACTCCGTTTACGATTGCTTCTCGTCTTTCTCGATTACTCATTATTATAATGTGTTTGGTTATGTTCATGTTTTTTTTTTTTTATCCATAGTGTTGGACACAGCTGGTCAAGAGGAGTTCAGTGCAATGCGAGAGCAGTACATGAGAAAAGGAGACGGTTTCATGATTGTCTATTCGGTCACCGACCCGAACAGTTTCAAAAACGTTCCTAATTTTTTCACTCAGATACTTAGGGTCAAAGATAGGTGAGTGTATACCAGTAGAAACAAACGATCATTGATGAGTTGTAAAAATTAAAAATATTTTCCCTTTGTTAGAGATGAATATCCAATACTGCTGGTGGCCAACAAGGTGGACCTAGTGCACTTGCGTAAAATCAGTGAGAGCGAAGGTCGTGCAATGGCCAACCGATTGAATTTACCATACATGGAGACCAGCGCCAAAGATCCGCCACAAAACATCGATGGCGCATTCCACGAGGTTTACATGATTATGTTATTTTAATTATTAATTGTTATTATTTGTGTTACATAATATTATTTTCACAATGGGTCAGTTAAATTTTTTATGGTACAAGAGGTGTTGTAATTTATAATTATGATATATATTTTAGTTGAACTCAAAATTTTACATCTCTTATATACGACACTGTTGTCCAAAATGTACAAGAAATAATATAATTGCCTGTATTATAAAGGAATTTACATTATTTTCTAGTTATTGTCTAATATTTGTTAAGAAGTAGAATAAAAAAGAGGCAAATATTTTATCACTGATTAAATAAATAATTATTTAAATCTATTTTTACAAATAACCATAGAATGATTGTAAACAAATCATATAAAATGCAACTTACAAAGTTAAATATATTTATTTTAAATAATAAGACAGTGAAATAGTAAAATATTATTATTTGTTAATATAGATTTATCAAATAAGATATGAATAAAATAACAATTTTTTAATGAGAACCATAGATTTGTAGATTTGATGTTAGTGGCAAAATATCTGATATTATAAATATTATTATAACTTTTAAGTGCAAATAAAAATATTTTTTAATTTTCTATTTTACTGCCATATGGCTTTTCGTGCATCACCATGTAATCTTTCGTGTTCCACTTCTGGTATGCGTACCATAGTTTGAGAATTGCTGGTTTAAACAGTTAATGTTTGATACTATACAAATTACAATTAGTTTATTCTTAAACATAATTTTGTAAATGTTAATCTTTTACAAATTGTTACCAAACCATAAACATGTTTAAAATATTTCCTTTTGTATAAAATTGACTAAACACTAATTAGTTAGATTTTTCAACTCAAAATACTAACTGTTTTTTTTCTCTTACAGGTAGTGCGCATCATACGAAATCATCCTAAAGAATTGTCAGAAGATCGTCGCCGTAGACGTCCTAAATGCTTAATCATGTAAACCATAATGTCTTGCCAACATGATATTGTGAAAGTGCCTGAAGAAATGAAAACAAATGTCAAATTTAGCATAAGTCAAAATAAAAAGTAATCCTAATTTATAATTATGTTAATAATTTAAGTCAATAATATAAGATTATAATATTATTTGTGTATAAAATTTTACACAAATAAGATTGTAACACCAAGTAAAGTCTGAACACTATTTTGAAACAATTTTGCAGATTTTCGTAATATACATAAAAATGCTTATGTATTAAATTAAATTTTTTGGTATAGGTTTAAGTAATGTCAGATACATTTATACAGAGAGTATAAATAATTAAACATGCAATTTTATAATGGTCGATAGACTGAAAGTAAAATAAACATTTTTCAGATGCTTTACATTTATTTTATACAACCTACATGTTGTTACAAATGTAATGTACAATATTTAACAATAAAATTATAAGTTCAAATAAAATGAAATTGTTGAGTAAATTATTTTCCTATACTATCGACATTGATCATGTCCTCTGCAATGTTGTTAGGTGATGTTTCCATGTCATACATGCTGTTTGATTCACTTTTTCCTGAAAAAGTATCATTAAACATGTCTGTTGATAAACCGTGTTGATTGAAATTGGTTCCTGTTTTAGTTTCAGCCATTGTTTTGCTACTTTCAGTTGTTGACAGTACACTGTTAGAATGAGATTCGTTTGATTGAAGTGACTGGTAAACAAATTATTATTTTATTTATTCACAATTTTTACAATAAATATTCATAAAATAAAAAGGGTTTGAATTAATCAATTTGATGAAATGTATAAAGAAAAGTTAAATTCAAAATATATATCGTACTACAGATACAACAGTATTTTGAAAGAATTGAAGAAAAATATGAAAATTGAGGGTACGTCAAAATGTTAATGACATCAAATTCAAATATGTTCCCATATTTCTGAATAACATGTTTTATTACTAATGAAAAGAATGATATACCACTGGTGCCAACTTTGAAACTTTTGGAGTAGAAGGTTTTCGTTTTTTGGCTGGAGTTGGAGTAGTCCTTTGGGGACTAATAGATTGTTTACTGATTCCACTTGAAGAGTTGTTTGCTGGTGCTTCTTTTCGTCTACAATACATGTGAACATTAATGACGTTGTTTTTCATTTTATAACATATTTATCCACTGAAAATGTATTAAACTTCAACTAAACAACTTAATATAAAGAATTACTAATGTATACCGTACCAAAATAAAATAATGTAATAAATCAATGTTACTAAAATTAAAATTTTTTAAAACTTAAATAAGAGTGAAAATTATAGTTATAATTATAAGTTATAATTATAAATTAATAAATCACTAAATATTGATTTAACAATAATAGATTTTCGTGTAACTCATATTACTTGGAAACTAAAATTATAAGAAATTAATAGGTTAAATTTTAGTCTGGTCATAACTATAACAACGACTAATGACTTAAGGTCACAAATTAAGATATATATTATATATTATAGTTTGTGCTTTAAACATCAAACATTATTTTATAGTCTTTTGTACAGAGATATGGATTAGTTACTTTTTAGGTTCTGGTTTGATAGAATCGCCTTCATCTGATGACTCAGTTAATTCATCATCACTACTGCTGAGTTCTACCATTTCATACTGTATCAGTCTATCTAGTAGAACATTTTTATCTCGTGACGCTTTTAGAAGTTTCCGTTGGGTTGTTTTCAGGGTCTGTTGAAAGATTTCGTTTTCCTTGAAAACAACAAAAACCAAACAAATAAATTTGTTAACGATAATATCAAGTTACATTAAGGTACTTACATATACCAGAAGTCTCAATTTTCTTTTCATTTCTTTATATTGTTCCTTGTGATTGGACTCGGCCAAACTATTTTCATCAAACGTTTCTTCGTTGGCAACCATTTTTGGGCTCTCTGAACACTACATAACAACAAAAATAATGTTAATACAACGGTTAATATTAAAAATGTTAAATAAAAAAAAATGTATACAATTTTACCATTTTTAAAACAATAATAATAAACAAATTATTATCTGTATGTATATAGTGCTATCAACAGATAATAATAAGCAACATGAAATACAATAGTCAATAGTTTAAGGTCTATGATAGAATCACAGAATGTGATGAAACCATAGTCCGTGAACAATGCAGTATCACGTTATCAATTATAATATAAAAACCGCGGCAAATTTGAACCAGCCAATCAGAGATTAACGGTTGAGTAGCTATAATATAATATGTTTAAAAATAAATATATTAAATATTTTAATATAATAAACTTTTGACATAATTAATATTATCAGAATACCCATAATTGTGTACTTATTGTTATTGCTTATAATTTTTAATTTTTCATCACTCTATTAACTAACAAATTGGTAAGTATCACTAGTTTATACGAGATCAGTGTTTTATGTTATAATAAATATTCTTTTATTTGGGCTTTAATGCAGCAACGGGTCTTCTATTTTCTTTCTATGAGTGACTATCACTGTAAGCCATCAAGAGTCAGTACTATTTTTCATGGTGGTGAAGATACATTTAAAATAGAAAATATTTTAACCATATAGGTATCTCATGGCTCACATGTTTCATTAAATCGAGTCACATATAAAGATAAAACTAACACTAAGTCCATGGCTATATAAATATATAGATAAGGATAATTCCTTAAAATACTTTCTTTTTTTTTACTATTAATCTATATTCTAAATAATTTATCACTTTATAAAGTTAAAAATTAATGGCATCAGCCATCAATCTAAAGCCCTTAAAATAAACTCAGCCATGAAGTGAGGTATCTAACACTGGTGATAAATGAAGAAAAAGTATTAGGGTTTAGTATTCAAAATCAGTTGGACAATTAAAATTCTTTTTAGCATAAATATAGTTAATCATGACACAATTTTAAATTGATCAAGAAAATAGAAAATTAAAATTATGGTTACTTATGCAAACTAAAAATAAAATAAATAATTTAAGATAAGTTTTATAAAAATAATCCAGTCTAAATGATCATTATAAAAAGCCAATTAAATATCTAAATAAGTTTTACATTTTTGGCTGATACGTAAATAAGTGGTTTCATAACGTGCTAAGTGGAAAGGTCTCATCATATAACATAACAGCTTCATCTAGAATATTTAGTTAATATTGTTCAATAATTTTTTTCAAATTTGATTTACTGAAAATCTCTCCATTAGAATTAAAGAAATAGCTATCAATATTGATATAAATGAACTGTGAAGTCATAATATTCTAATATATTAAAGCCAATAGAACAATTCTGAATGTGAATTTATAATATAAATTCATTGATTGAGATAATCATTAAAACCCAAAATAATTTAATTCCAATCTTTATGTTTGCTGAAACTTAAAACAACTAATGCAGAAAAATTTTAAATATTAAAATAAATATTACTTAATTATTTTTATAAAAATTAGCATTTAAATAATAAATATTATTAAAAATATGATAGTAAGCGTTCTTCTTTATACGAAAAAAGATATGTATTATTCAATAATTTCTAAAAATAATTGGACCACAAATTCAAATTTAATGAAAAAATTCACAAGACTTGTATGTTAATGAGTTTAATCATATACCACATTAGATATATGATTCAAAAACAAATTTTTAAGAAATGATTAATAGTTTTGATGAATACAGAATAGTCTTATTTCTTCAATAGGAAGAAGTATAATAAATACATTTGTACCTATATATTTTAATTTTAATAACAAGTATTGTTCTAATCCTTATTTTAAGAAGATATGTTTTTCAGTAATTATATACAATTTGCACTATTAAATATGAGCAATTTTATAATTTATTGGTGCTGTTGTTTATTTTAGTTTTAATTCAGTTTATTACATCTTCATTAGTTGGTAAGTCAATATTATTAAGGATTATAAATAAAAGAAGTATGATCTCATAAAAAAGTATTAATTTATTTAGGTTACCTACTTCAGATGAATGTATTTGTATTTTTAGTATCAAATACTTCTGGTAAAAACTTCCTTACTGATAATATTGTAACTTAGTACAAATATCCCGATGATTCTAAAAAATTGTGAGTTACTACTTACTAGATATCTTATAATTTATTTCTTATTTAAGGTGAACTGGTAATTTTTTGCTCAAAACAATATATTATCACTTATCAAAAACCTAGGAATTAAATAAATATATTTCAATAAATTTATAAATACCAAAGTATTATATATTTATAAGTTTTTGATTAAGTAGGTAATTTTTGTTCTTATTTATATTATAATGCTTACAACTTATCTAATTTAATAAAATGTTAAATATTTAATATCTCCCCTCATTGATTGTCAAAAAATTACAATGACTTAGAAATTAGAATTTTCAACTTTTCAGATAGATAACCGAAATTATGTTTATCATAATCTAGTAACTACATCACGGTCTTAGAAGATCTTCATTCAGGCTAAATATAATCATAATTTCTTTTTTCTTAGATTTACGAAGATTAGTTTGATAGCGATTATTCCTCCAACTATCCGAATAAATAAAAAGCATTTAACCAATAGCTATGGTTTCACTGGTTTCATTAACGAGAAAAATTCAGGCGGGAATGTTTTGAGTTTTCGGATTACTTCGACCGTCGGATCGTGTCGGCTAGTGATAAGATTGTCGTCCGATCACTAGGTTAGAAGTGGTGTAAGCTTTGCTTGTTGGTTATCAACAGATTTTTCTTTGACAGTTTATTATAATCGTTATAACTTATAAACATCAATAACCATGGTTCCTTTAGAGGATGTTTGAGCGAAGCTTCACTCGGGTTTTTATCTAAGTCGTACGAATCAATTGTCGAGTGTTTTATTACCAGCAGTCTGTTAGCTACCGTAGCGGCGCAGTAATGGTACGTATACTCGAACAGTTATGCCACTACGGCAACATGCGCCCTCTGATAACAAATTGTTTGCTTTTGAACTAATGCATTATACAAAAATTTAACCTGCCGAAGCCCAAGGTTTTACAGTTTGAAAGTGCCTCGCGTTTTCAGTGGCGCACTGGTGCGTCCTTTTGGCTCTTTCCGAAGTCCGTAATGTGCTAATGTCCGTATGCGATAATTGCGATAGTGATAACGTATTAAACTATTAATCTCACAGATATTAAAAAAATAAAATATTTTCTTTATGTGCTACCATCTACCAGGTTACCATGGGAGCGTGTTATCAGTGTTTTATTGTTGATAAGCAAGGTTTATAGATAATAGTATCTATAAATCTTGGTAGATACTAGATAAAGATTATAAAGCTAATAGAGGTGGCCATCATATTTTTATTACGAACTAATACGAAGTTATGCAAGATTTCATAAAAAATATTATGGTTTGCAAAAATGTATTGGACCAATCATGGGCCACTTAATCAGTTTTAAGGATCTATTAGCAGATTTTCTATTGATTCATTAAATGTTTGTTGGCTTTTCGTGCAACTCCTTACTCCGCATGAAATAAACACTATTATAAGTTATAACGTATTTTGAATGTTAGGTACCTTCATTAATCATTCAACTCGAATCGTAGAACGTGTTCGTTTATTTTGTTCAAATTGTGTTGTGTGATTAACTATTGGTGACTATGTGTGTTCATGAGACAAGACACTATCTACAATTGTAAAAAAAAAAAAACGAGAAAACAAGTTAGGTATATACCTATTCAATTATTTTTAGGCTTGATAATAATTGTTCGATTTACTCAAATAATATTGAGTTAACGCCTAAAAATACAAAATTAGAACCAATCTAAATTTGACATTTATAACATTATAATGTCAATATTAATATAATAATATTTAATCAATCATTAGTGATATAAATACAGAACGATACCATGCCCATGTACAGAAATCGGTCTGGATCATTTTTAAACGTGAATAGAGTACCTATATTACACTATAATTTTTTTTAATAAATTGGAATTAACTTTTATCAGCAGATAACGTACCTATATCGTGTGTTTATGTACATACATGATGAAATATAAGGTACCTACCTATAATTGGCAATGATTTTTATGATAACATAAAATAAACACGGATCTGGAATAACATCTATCTATTAACTTCTGTTCCTAGATTATATATTTACTGATCTAATTTATATATTTAATAATATTATAAAAAGAAGAACCACTATATTTTGAGTTTATTTAATATCTCTACCGTATACTTTTGATAAATCAATTAATATATAACACTATATAATTATGATTTATATTTTTTGTTTGATACAGCGACCCGAAGACTTCGCTGACCGGGTGGCTGGTTTGTGTCTGGAGAAATTCGATCAGTTGCCGGACAAAGGAAAGCCGATGTTAGGTAAACAGTGGACGCTCTTGTCCGGCGTTGTACAGGTAACAGATGATTCAAGTCTGCCGAAAGTTGTTTCACTGGCTACCGGCACCAAGTGCATTGGCGCCGGTAAACTCTGCGGTAAAGGAACCGTGGTCAATGATAGTCACGCTGAGGTAAGTCAACAAACGAAGACTTTCTTGTACAATAACATACATTTTTAATTTCATTTTCTGAAGTTTAATATTATTTGGAATATTTTAATAAATAAAATTCAAATTTCTGATGAATAGTTAATGAGTTATCGGTAATTAAAATGTTGATAAATGAAGTGAATTGTAATAAAGTAGTACTTCGTGAAATGTTGATCCACTTCTCCGCTAATCAAAACTTTAAATTATTTATGATTTATGAGTGATAACTTTAATATATAATTTGTCCAACATTTTTTTTTTTTTAATTTATATTCTGTTTTGAAATATGAAATTAAAAATGTATGTTTTGGTATGTACAAAAAAAAAAGAAAAAACCTTAAATTTAGAGATTTTAACGACAAAAAATAGTGATAAGTGATAACATAGTTTTTTTTATAACTTGCAATAACAAATAAGTTACAATTATTTAAAAGAAATATTTAAAAAAAAATTAATAGATTTTTAAATAATGAGTGGCTTATTATAAAAGGATAATCTGGTATACTTATGTATATTATACGTATAATTGAGGTTGGCTGTGCTTGGATTAAAATACGTCTGACGCAATCATGTTTGATATTTTCGAGGGTTTCAGGTTTTAGCGCGCAGAGCTCTGTTGCGGTATTTTATCCAGGAAATCGAATCTGCTCGCAAAGGTGGCCCATCAATATTTGTACGTGGAGAAGCGCTTGCAGATGATGTTTGTGGACCAGAAAATCATTTTGCTTGTTCTAGTCCTCTGACGTTACGACCAGGCGTGACTTTCCATTTCTTCTCCAGTCATACACCATGCGGTGACGCGTCGATATTTCCAAAAGACGGAGGCAAACGGTTGGCCGTGGATAATGACAGCATTGGACCGGAAGCCAAAAGACGCAAAACCAACGATAATGAAGATGATAATAACGATATACACAGGACCGGAGCCAAATGTCTGAGCGTAGAGACCAGGCAGGACCCTCGACTTCCAGGCGCGGCATATCACGCGGTCGGAGCTGTCCGAACCAAGCCGGGCCGTGGAGACCGAACGTTGTCAGTCTCGTGTAGTGACAAATTGCTTAGGTGGTACACATCAGGTATACAGGTAACTGTATCTATATTAATAAATGCATAAAATCCATTATGTTGATGGCAATCCGTTTAAATCACGTCTATACGTTAAAAGTCGACTATGATTGTTTAAATAACGCTCCGTGCAGGGCTGGTCCAATGATTTTTTTGCACATAAGTTGAACACCTGTTTACATGGTGACCTATCAGCAGTGTTAAAAAAAAGCCATAACTTAAGGCTTGAGCAGCATATTAAAACCTACCTGCCATTCTCCAGAAGATATTTTACAGTAAAACTTTTACTGTAAAAGTTCGTAATTTGGTGTACTTTAATAACATAGCGTGTATAATTTTTTAGGGAGCCTTGTTGTCACTGTTCGTCGAACCGTTGTATTTGTCATCGCTGACTATTGGTGGCGGTTGTCCATACTCTGAATCGGCTTTGCGTCGGGCCGTCATCGAACGGGCAAATCGCTTTGACGACGAAGACACTCGATCGCCGTCAATCCCACCACTACGACTCGCGCGTTCTGATTTGGAGTTCAAATACGCCAAACATCGAGTGGCCATTGACTGTAAACCATGTCCGTCCAGTGTGGTTTGGTGGGAAGACAATTACGGTAGTGGAGTGGTAGGAGGCATGAGCGTGTCAGGTGGGTGAGTAAAAACTATATTTTTTTAATCAATATGTATTGACAAGTGATAACTATTTATTTTGATCTGTAAAATTATCTTTATTCTTTCGTTAGTTTTACTGATAAATGATAATCTTTTCATATTTGTATATTTAGTACTATAGTATATTTTTGTTTATACTCTAAATAACAAAAAAAAAAAAAAAGAAATATGTTAAAAAGAATGGATCAATGAAACATTTATTTGCATTATATGCTTATATATATAAATTACACATTTGATACTTTTCGGCTCCATAGGGTGACTAAATAAGCATAGATCAATCCTTGTTCTTTTAATAAAGCAGTTATTCAAAATATGATTTTTGAAATTTTTAAATGTATTTAAATACCATATATTTTAATGTTTGAGTTTCTGTACCATTTAAGGAGTTTCCTGTAACGATATAAACTTCTGTTTTTTTAAATTAAAACATCCTTTTTCATTTTAAATTATTTAGCAAATGGTTTTTATTAAAAATGTTGTCGAATTTAATCAAAATGTAAACGAGTAGTTTTCAAGTTAGTTAATTAATTGTATTTTAAAAATATTCTTTCAATCCTGAAGACATTGAAATTCAAAATAATTTGATGAAACAAAAACAAAATTGTAGTCTTCTTAATTAATTTATTCATTGTTGTTCCAAGCATATTATCAATTATATATATATATTAAACAAAATTATTAAATTTTATATTTGCCCAATACATTTATAGAACGTTTCAATTAAAAACAAAATATTATTATCTCTACGTTAAACATATAATTTAATTTGTTTAATATAAGTACTACATGTTTTGATTTATTATATTTAAAGTTATGCAAGCCTGCAAAAATTATCTGCGTAACTAAAAAGTATTATTTAATGATGCATTTTGTATGAAATTAACATTTTAATGTTAAACTTAGATACTGTGTCCTACCTTATTAGTTAGAAAAAAATAACCTTAGTACCTGCCAATATACTTGTTTATATTATAATATTATACGAGAGATAATACATTGTTTATTATAACATATACTCAAATATGTCCAAAAATCAAAATTTGAATCGACGCTTTAGACTTAGTCAATAATATTAAATTAATTGTATGTATATGTTACGGTAAATGATGATAAATGGAAATTAACGTTATTCACCGGTTATTAACGTTATTTACCAAATATACAGGTAATTATCGTTATAAACTGGATAATCACGTTAATGACCAAATACACAGGTAATTGATGTTATAAATCAGATAAGCGCATGAATCTCAAATACTACAATTTGAAAAATTATGTAAGTACCCAGATATTTTTAAAAATAGAATAAATGCATTATTATTTTTTATTTATTTTTACAAGTTTTACTCCCATGACATTTAATATAACATAATTTTTCAGCCCCAAGGTAAGCACAATGCTTATTATTAATACAACTAGTCTTGCAATGACAACGCTGGTACCTTCGAGGGCTCGCAACCGAATTATTACTAGCTACTTCCCTCAGTGTCAACTGTCTACCATCTGCTAATTTTATCACATTGTCCATGTCTAATAGATTTTATTTGCAAACAGCTATTTTTGGCATGTGAAATAATATTTAAGAAAACTATATTCCGTATTTATAAAATAATAAAACAAATTTTAATTTTAATAGTATATTTTTTCACTAAGAATTAACTTACAGAGTTTGTATAAATCATGTTCAACTTGAGTGACAACTAATAGTATATTTTGCATAGAACCACAAGCTCTATCAACATTTGGTATAAATACACATACAGTTAAGCCTATTTCAAGCTGAGGAAACTTTTCTTTAGAAAATTTCATCATTTCCTCTCCTTGTTTTTCTAAATTTTTTTTTGAATTTTTACATACAATACAAATATTTTCTTGACAATCATCAAAAAAATATTTAAAATAATTTTCAAATATTTATATTTTAGTTTTATTTTTGTTATATTTAAAATTCGGAAATTTATCGTTAAATAATTAAAAAATATTTAAGTACCAAGTTCCGAATTTTTTTCTGCGATTTCTATGATTTAATTTCCGATTTTGTCTTCTTTGATGATTGGTTCTTTGGTTATTTTTTTAAATCTTCCGCAATAACCTCTTTTATTTTATAATCAGATCAAAATTTCCCAAATCATACGGTTATTAACGTTATTCACTAGAAAATAACGATAATTCCCACATTCGTAGGTAAATAACGTTAATAACCGGCGAATAACGTTAATTTCTGATATAACATCATTTACCGTAACATATATATATTTATATTATGCAAAATCTATAATAATATTTTTGTTATAATAATGTGTTATTGCAGTCGTCACGAAGTGTTGGTGAACGGTCGCAAACAAGGTGCAACGAAAAAGGCAGTGGACGGAAAGGCGACAGGTTCTTCGGCGTTGTGCAAAAAGTCGCTGCTCGACGTGTGCCGGAATTTGTTGGTCAATGATGGAGATACCACAGGACGAGACGTCACTTACGCACAGTTCAAGTTGCGAGCTACGTCGTATCAACATCGTTGGGCGGCTGTCAGGCGCCGGTTGGGATTTTGGACGGTGAAACCAGAAACCTTATTGGACTTTACGTGACACGTGATAATACCCCAAAAAATTTTTTTTGTTCCATTAAATTCAACTTGTGAGGCGTGAGATCAGTGAACCGAGACATTTTTATATGTATATATTGTATAATATAATGTATTGATATTTTACACAGTAAAATTATTTAGTCAGTCGATGATAAATATAAATGTATACGCATGTCGCTAATATGTATGTTATATACTACATTATATGGAAAGGACTGTACGCTGAAACTAATTTTGGGGGTGCACTTACTTTTTGAAAATCAGATGTAGAAAATTATACTTGACTATTTTTATTTTCAATAAACATAATATAAATACTACTCGTATTTATCATGAAAAAAAATTAACAATATTTGCAATACTTTTTTATAAAATGTAAGTATAATATAAAAAGTATGAAAAATAAATAAAAGTCATAGAATCAAATATCTATACTGAGAGTTGAGACTGTTTATATACTTATAAATTATAGTAATACTTGATAAGTATAAAAAAAAAAAAATCAAAAACTTCGTTGAATATATTATATAAACACAAAAAACACCTCGTCGCCTACGTATCTTATCTTTGTACTTTCATATATTATAATGCCATTTAAAATTAAAACTTTCAAAGTTATTGATAAAATATAGTTTAATATTTTATGCTATGATTGTAAATTGATTTTATTGAACAGATAGGAAACAAATAGAATTTTAATAGGGAATAACATTTTGAGTAAACATCATGCATGATGTGATCTGGCAGGTTTTTTGTTGTTTTTAAAGGACGTGCGAGATATGGACTGTTAATATTGGGGAAAGTTGAAAGGTCTAATGCCACAAATGCTTGTTGATGATAATATATTATAGGATTGATATAGCAATAAACACACGATGTTTTTAATAACATTTATAGTAATATTTTTGAGCATTGTAATGAAAAACTACACAATATAAATATGATACAATTATTTGTTTTTTGTTTTTTTCGTTTTTATAAATATATTATGTACATTAATAATACTCCCGTTATAAATATATATATATATATATACACACACACACATATATATATATATTTATATAATATAATATAATATAATAATACTTACACGTGTATAAGAATAAAATTAAACTCGCTGTACAAAAATTATTATGATTATTATTATTATTATTACTATTATTGTTTATTATCGTTGAAATGATATGCAGATCGAAACTAAATATCACATAATACCTAAATATAATGTAAACCATTATTATTAATACTTCATCATCATCAATACATACTAAATATTATTTGGGACATTTCTTATTTATGTATAATACAAATATCAGATTTTTCTTGTTTTAAAATTATAATTTCGAAAAAGCGTCAATCAGTTAATAATACTGTTACTAGGTACTTACAATACGTATTCAAAAAAGAAAAAAAATTATTCATCTCTGGTAAAATTAGTATGTACACAATTTAAAAACAAATAAACAAACAATATCATTGAATCATAATGATAATTGCAAAACATATAATATAATAACGAAAATTGCTTAATGATCATGAGTAAATAATAATAATATTATGGCAATGATATTGTGGGATGAGTCAATTCTACTATGGACTAAGTTTGATTTTTTCTAAATTAACGTTTCATTTTGATTCGTAATGACATCACAATAACAATATTTTATGACGTGTAACGATCGCGTACAAAACAATAACAATAATAATAATAATCAATAATCAAAAAGTTAATTAAAAATAAAACATAAATTGCGACAACGACACAAATTACAATATACAATAGTTATAAATTATATATGTTTTGATATTTATATTATTTTCTTATCGACGAATCGAGAGGGTTCCGTGGTAATAATACGGATGGCACATGAAAGGGCGGGAAATCATTCTAGATTTGTACAACTTTCGAAAACGTAAAAATATAATCTAAAAACAAGAATAAATAAATAAATAAAAACACGCGGCAAGTACGCGTGCATAAATCCTAATTCGTAAACTATATATGTAAATAAAAATAATAATAAAAAAATCCGATTGTCCGACAAAAATATAATATATATCATATCATATATATTATCGTATTATTTACAAGTACCATCAGGTACATATCGCGTATAATAATCTAATAAAACTTATACTGCACATTGTTATATAACTATATAATAATAATAATGATATTATACAACAGTTAAAAGTTTTTTTTTTTTAATGTTATTTAAAATATCCCAAAATGCAGTTTTGGATCTTTTGTATAGTGAACGGAATGAGAAAAATACGGAAAATTAAAAATCGCGGTGGCGGCAAAAGATCGATAGTTGTATATTGCATACAACAATATTGTAATTAATATATTGTGCGCGCGATCGCTTTAAATCACTGATAGCGACCGTCGCGGTTGCAGCCGTACGACTGTTGCAGCTGTAGCCTCGTGTGAATCGGTGGTGGCGGCTGATGCTGCTGCGGGCCGCCGGCAGGTTCGCGATGCGCCCGCCTCGACCAGGCTCATTTCTTCAGCTCCAGTCCTACCAAGTCTTTGGGTTTCTGATCCTGTTGCTGCAGCTGGTTGTTTTGCTGTTGTTGCTGTTGCTGCGATGAAAGGTTGTTGCCGGATGGATATACTTTGTCCAAGTGCTTCAACGATTCCGAGAGAAAGTTCTATGGAAACAGTAAAAAAAATATGTGAATAAACTGCCAAATTGTGTTATACGTATAAACATTTTTAAAATTCAATGCTATTAATTTGCAAGTATTAAAAATTATGTACAATTGATATTATTTTCTGTAAGATACCCTAGGACTTTTAAATAATAGGTATCCAAGGGTGCCAAGATTCACCATTTACTGAAGGTTAAAAATCTTACGTATGGGACAGGGTTCGTGTTGGAGCCTTCGTGTTAGGATAAAAACATTGACAAAAATAAACAAAATGCCTTTTCACTCTGATTTTTTCCATATTTAGCATATAAGGTGATGCATTAAAATCAAAATTCAATTCATTAGTTTCTACTGAGTTATTTTACATATAATACGTAGCATGGATGATAATAGTTAGTAAATAATAATTGATCAAACATGATCTTCAAATATGAAAACATTGTTGTTCAATTTAATTCCATCAAAATTGACATAAATAATCTACATAAAAAATGCTTAAAAATTAATTTATTGATCAATTGATTACTGGTTTAAGTGACTGGTTATAATATACTTAATAACAGTATCGGGAATTTCATGAAACATTATTATTACGTATATTTGATCGTACAAGTATGAATTTGAGTGATAGACGCAAACAAGTTTTCATTATCGTTGGATATTTATCAGCCTAATATTGTTTTGTTGCACAATATATAGGTACTATATACTATATAGAATAACACATTGATGATAGCCGTTACTTATATCTTGTTATTTAGTATTAGTTTGAATTCTAAAAAAGTTTAAATGTGAATTATTATGTAACTGATATAACTTTAACTTTGAATAATTGACTATGTTTATTTATTTTTATTATATCATGTGTTTATACTTGCAAAACAATCGATTTGTGTGTTAATTTATTATATAATTATAACTAACTAATAATTTTTCATTAAGTATTTTAAAATGTTTTGAGCGCAATTGGTATATAAAATAGTAATTTTAAGCGCAATCGGTAAACTCTCAATGTAATAACTGTTACCTGTATGGCCGTGAGGGCAGCGACTATCGCAGGACTTCCGAATCCGTGCGATATGAGCGAAAAGTGTGTGAGTGGACGCTGTATGATTGGGTCAAGAATGTGCTGCGGCCTGGTGTTGCACAGCGGCGAACGGTCTTGGTTCAGCAGGTCCATCAGCTCTTTGGTCACTTGTCTGTAAAAAATAAAAAGATTTATTGTATTAATATTATGTGTATATATTAACTATTTTATATGATTATAATTTATAATATAGATGATAATAACATATTATTTAATAAATTTAATTTTTTTTACTAACACACGTACACACATTTATATATATAATATATACATATTAATTTATTTACATTTTATACAGTGTTCGATTTTTTTTTTATAGACTTTTCTTTTGGAGTTTGAAATTTTAATTCATCTTTAAGCTTAGAATAAAATATACTTAATCCCATTGATATCTTCACAAATTATGTGTTTTAATAAATTGTCAGTAATATGAGAATTGAAAATGACTTTGAGTACTTACTTTAGGGAATTTAAATTTTGCAGAAACGAAAATATAATTTTAATTGATTTTTGGCTCCTTTAGCCATATTATGATTTAAGGGATTAGGGTTTCTACAGTTTTTATTGTAATAATTCGATTATTTCAGAATTTCTGTTTGTGTAAGGACGTATATGAGCTATGTTCTCTCATATTTTTGAATTGTTGTCATTAGATTGAATAAACTTGTATGGGATAATCATTACCTTCATAAAAAGGAAGGGGATGTAAAACCTGGTGTACAGTGTCTCCTTGAAATAAATTTATAATTATTTTTAAAATGCTGATTTATATTTTATTTTATATTAAATTTTTTTACGATGTATATATATATATATTATCATTTTGATATTTTAATCAGAAAATAAATATGTATATATTCAATTGGAAATTTTATATAGGATTCCTAAAAATACTTGATATAAGGACCTAAAATTTAATCTAGTGGCTTGGGGCTAATACAATTTTTACGAACTAAAATCTTGATTTTAAATGTTTAAGAAATTGTGAACAGTGGATTAGTACTTATAGATAATTTAAAATAGGCGAAAATTAATTATGTTTATAAATACTACTTTAAATTAAATTTATTGGGCATGGATGGTAAGTAAGTACTCACTTTGTGGCGTGTATAAGTTCTTTTCTTCGATACGACTCAGTAGGATCACTCGTGTGCGGTCTACTTAAGTATTCCGCTACTTGCCGGGCCGGGAATTCTGTTTCACATACGTACCCAAAGTCTCGAGCCAAATGTATCGCTTCACCTGAAAAGTTAAAATTAGGTAAATAACAACAGCATCAAATAATATATTAAAAAACTATAATACATTGCATAATATAGGTATTATTCATTAAGTATCTATAGCCCATATTATCATGGCTATGGGTTACCAACTATTAACTATAAAAGTATCGATTAGTTTTTAGTGGTCTGTTTTGAAACATACTAAAATTTTCATGGTTCGTTAAGGTTAACCTAGCTATTTTTACACATAAACAAATGAACAATTTTTTTAAATTTTTATTTATATTTATTTTTGTGGGTATATCAATCAAATAAATGTGATTTAATGTGAATTTTTTTTGTTCTAACTATGAGATATTTATTGTAGTGCAGTAAAAATGCACTTGATGATTATTAAATTGTTAAGGTGGCACATCTTTTAACCGAAATCTTAAACTATGTTTATAAAGTTCATTTTCAAAAAAGCGGCTTTACGTCGAAAAAAAACATATGTATAAATATTATACAATTATATTGCATAAAAAATTAATGCTTTCGTTAATGACGCGTGTGAATTAAAGAATAGAATGATTTGATTAATTTGATGCATATCGTTTATCAAAACCCAATCGATGTTAGCAGGTATCTGAGTTTCGTATGCTTGCCACCTTTACGTACGTATATGTATATCAGACAGAAGAATATATTATATACATTACACGTTATGTAGGTAGTTTGTTAACCAAGAAGAAAAATACCACCGCGGACCAAAACAATTTGCCAAGAAGTCGCTTTCACTCGCTCGTTGCTATTTATTTTAATTGCCAATTTCACAAGGAACAATAAAGTCAAAAACAAAATCATAATTATTACTGTATATTAAAAAAATGTAATTACGAAAAAAATATTTTTTTTTTGTGGATAATAATAATTTTATATCTTTTCTTGCCCTACGGAAAAAATAAAAAGAGGGATAGGATAACACAAACCATACAACCGCGTAAGAGAATAATAAAAACTGCCGAGAAATGTGAAAAATGAATGCGATTTTCTCGTAATAACGCAAGATGAATCGCAATTGACGCAAATTCCAAATTCAATTAATTTATAACCGCGGACAGAATGAATTATGCAAATATTTTCATTGTCAACCATTAATTTAAAAAAAATTAGTTAATAGTTTGAATTTTTATATTTTTAACCATTGATAAAATACGTAATAAATAATTAGGCTTTAAATCCTCATATCCGTGATAATATACACTATAAATTATAATATATTATTTAAAATATAACTGATTATTATGCATATTAACTAAATTATCGTATTATTTGTGTCACAAAATACCTAATAAATTGTATAATTTTTAAAAACAGTTTTTGCACCAAAATCAAGTACCTACAGCTTATCTACGCGCAGTTTCGTGTAAACACGATATTAACATATTATATTAATTGACCTCGTTAGATTCTTCGCGGTGTCCTCAAGTGATATATATTTAAATATACCTAATCACAACGTAAGTACAATATACGCGCAATATAGCGACGAAAAAAGTTCGAATCATCGTATAATATTGTGTTTTCGTCGTCACACAATTAATATGTTATATATAAATATATATATATATAATATTATTATTTTGTTGGCCGGCGTGGCGGCGCCAGTGTTCGGTCGGCGGCGGCGGTCGACTTCAATACATAACGTGAGGAGCTCGACATGCATTATATACACACAGTACGGGAGAGAGAGGAGAGAGAAAGACAGATTACACACACACACACACACACACACAATCGGCCATCGAAAATTGGTTTTCCTCTATTGTTGAGCACCGGTAGCATTGTCTTGGCTGACTCTTGGGGATACGAAGATGCGTTCACGACGGGCGCCGCTAATTATTACTACACGGCGAAGAGAAAAAAAAAACGAATAAAATGAAAAAAACTATACATATATCTAAACCACACGAATAAAAGGCGGAGAGACTTAAATAGAAACATATACGCGTACACACACGCGTACACTCGCAATGTCTCTCTATACATATGTATATTGCGTGTATATATTATACATAGGTATTATATTTATTATATATTAGATACTTGATCGACACCTGTATATGATAATGTATATATATATGTATACACACACGATTAATCGTCCGAGACGACGATGCGGGTTTTTATTTCAATAATATTATATTATTATAACGTAGGTAGGTCGTAGGTACATAAAAAAGATACGCGACGACGACGACAAACGAAAGAGCCACTCTATAGATGATCCCGAACCTTTTGTACATAAATAATAATAATAATAATAACATGATATACATAATATTTATATATTGACAACAACTATTCGCCTGCTGCCCGAGGGTCATCATCAGTCTTCTCGTCGAGTTTATATCATAATAATATTATTATTATGATTTTTTTCGTACACGACTGCATAAACATCGATTAATTATACTGTACTCTGATCTCTCAGATATAATAAAATTATCGTATTGTTTGCAAAATTCAACGGTTACAACCAGAATATTCGATATATTCAACACAGAGTCATTCAAATTTTTGCGTCACAAAACAGGAAATTCCTATAAATTCCTAAATATAAGCGGTTCTACATAGATTTTAGAACAAATAATTTGAATGATCATTCTGTATAATTTCCTCCATAAATCGCGACGTCAAATAATTATTATTATATTATTTCCGACTAGCAGAGAGCGGTTTTCGATCTTGAAAAATCTGTCCGTTATATTATGCGGTTATTGAGATATTCGTTTAGCGATAATATAATTCACCTGCAATATCTGGAGTAAACCCTTTCATGTATATAAACTATACCGCGATTGCAAATCTAAAAAATGAAAATTGCCAAAATCGGTTTGTCGAATTTAAGAAGAAACCACGAACTACGTGTAATAATCATATCATAATAATATATTATTATGAAGAACTTGGTTTTTGATTTGAAGAGATACGACGGATATGTAGTAATAATATTTTATAGAGCCGAAATCTAAACACGCTTGTATATTTTTCTGGTTAATCAACGATAATATTATTTTATTAAATGCAACATTATTGGTTGTATTTAAAAATGTTATACAATAATAGGTAAATAATATATATCTTAAAAATTTTCAGATTAAAAAGTACCTATTTATTATTTTATATATATCAAAGACGTAATTTTGCTTAGGTAACACAATACGTCGAATAATTGCATGTTAAATTTTAATTAATATTAATGTAACTATAACTTATAAGAGTAACTATAGGTATAAGTTAAAATCAACGAAAGGTATCTTTATTTTTCATAAACATTTAGTTTAAACAGCTACTTTTACAATTTTCATTTTTATAACTTTATTCGTATCATATTATTATATAATATAAATATTTTTAACACTTTTTAAGTGAATATTTTGTATTTTCTGTATATGCACTCTGAGGCTGTTTTATTTTAAAGGAAATATATCTAGACTAGCAAAAGAATATTATAATGTTAATGCGTAGAAATAAATTGCCGTCAATCGAGTTGTAGATATTAGGAAGATATATATCGCGCACACGGTTTAACCAGCTGCAACAGTCATCGCCGCTGGAAAATGCGTTTAACGGTCAGTGATGTACTGTAAATAGAAGATTTGTTATTATATTATTACATAACACACGGGGTCGCTCGACCGTGTTAACTTTTCCACACGATGAAGATATCAGTCGGGGTTTCTATGTAGAAGTATATACGCTCACCATTATATTATATTTAAGTCATTTTTCCGCCTCCCTCGCTGCAGGTGAGAGCGTATTATATTCTGTATATACAGTATATGATATTATATATTATGTGCATATTGCAGCAAATACAGGTAAACGGCAGCGGAGGTCGATACAAAATCCGATAATAAATCCAAACTTTCTGACGTGCGCTTATACAGCGGCGGACATGTAGAGAATTATTATTATCATAAATAATATTATACGCGTATAATGTGCGTGTAAACGAGTGTATAATATGTATGCATATGTGTGTGTACGCGAGTGCGCGTGGAAAGATATGATATTTATATATATATATATTACACCTATTAGAGAGAGAGAGAATGGAAAGCCGATGTTAAGAGTGGGTTATTCGTCAATTATTATTGCGCAGAAGAGATTACTATTATTTCCTACGATTTTTTCCCTCATAATATTTATTAAATAGACACACACACACACACACATATAATATGTGTATTTATATCGCGCGCGCGTACGACGGCGGTAGCATAATATTAAACCGGGTAAGTCACGAATAAGTGCTTGCAGAAAGTCGAGAATAAAACGGACACACGGCACGTTTATATGTGTATGTATATATAAATAATATTATTATATTCCAGTACGACCGGTATAGTGAACACATGTATAGGTATAGGTATATAAGAGTACTCGAGTTAAATGAGAAAACGGCGGCGGATATAAAATATTATTATTCTTAATATACGCCGTGTCGGGTCACGATGACAAAACGTTAGCATTTCGCCGCCACCGTTTTTCGCGTGTCTATCGTGGTTTCTACCCTATATATCTGATCGTGATGCAGTGCAGTAGTATTTTTACAGGTCGGCATGTCTTACTATCCACGTGCACTTACTATATATATTTATTATATTATTATGCGCCGTCGTGTGTATAGTAATAAGAAACAATTAGTAGTCGACCGACGGCATCGCGGCGTATCGTCCACTAATATAATACTAAATTCCGCGACGGAAACGACCGCGGGAACTATGTGACGGAAATCCGTGGTCGAATAATTTTTACACGGAGCCAATCGTCGTGATTGCAGATAGAAAGAAAAAAATTTACACGTCTTTGCAATTTCATGTGGTCGTGATGGTCTAAAATAGCAAAAATATGATTGTATGTTAGTAATGCTGGGTATCATTTTTACTATATAGGGCAAGGGTCCAAAAGTTTTCTGTCTAAATGAGCATTTTTTCAAATAATTGTAAAAGTATAATTTTTTAAAGAGTCACA